ATCCTCATAACGAGACGAGACCTAAGATTTCGGATTTCAAAAACAAAGCCACTTCCGGCCATGATCTAGACTCATGACTCTTTTTCCCGCAGCGCGGACCAGCCTGCGGTCCGTGTCATCATTATAAGATTTAAATCCACCAGCGCCGCTGAAGCCTAGCACGCCCTCCTGCCCCGGCGCTGGGCTTGCCCGTCTTGGGGACCCTCCCTGGCTCCAGGTGCTGCGTCCCGTGCGCCTTTGTTCTCCCAGCAACAGCCAGTCCCTTGTTTGTCTCCTTTCCTCTGAGGGTGGGTGGGCCAGCAAGGGCGGGGGAGGAGGCGGGGGTGGCTCCGGCCCCCGGGAGGGTGGGCCACATGGGGCGTCTGTGTGAGGAGAGCCCCGCCCCCCAGGGGATGGAAGGGCCCACGGGCTCTGAGCTCCGTGGCCACCTGGGTCCTGGCCCCTCCTCTACTCAGCCACCATCAGGCACCCCCTCACCCCCTGGGCTTGGGTGACTGTGGCGTCAAGGGAAGCAAAGAAAACAGCCCCTGAAAGTGGTTTGGGCTGGAAACCACAGACCCTTCTCCGTGGCCTCTGCCCGCTCCCGCGTGTGCCCTGGTGTCGATGCCACGTGCCTGCCACTTCCCGCCTCGTGTGTGTCTGCCACCGGGCGGAGCCGCCCAGCTTCCTCAGGGTCCCCCATCCCCCATGACGTGGCGCAGCCCAGGTCGTGAGCATGCGCCGTGTTTCCTTGCCAAGGGTTGCCCATGCCCCCGGGACCAGTGAGAGGGCTTCCCGCCAGGGCAGGGGGTGGGAGGGAGGGCACCCCGGGTCTCCATCAGGCGCTGGAACTTGTCTCATTTCCGGTGGCTCTGTCCCAGCGGCCCCTGCACCCCCTCAGGGAAGGGGCCAAGTCCTCCCTTCGCGTGGGGGCACCTTGTCCATCGAGGCCCAGGCAGGTGTCGCCGAGGGGGAGGGCACGGCCCCTCCATTTCCTGCCGCCGCCCCCCTGCCACCCCCTCTGCAGGCCGGAGGGCCCTCATGGCCACTGCTCTACTCATCCCCCTCCGCCCCCGCCCCCGGCCGGCCAGCTGCAAGCCTCAGCCTCGCGGCGGAGACGCTGGCTCTGTCCTTGCCTCGCGGCCGCCCTGGGAATCGCCTCTAATCTGCTCTCCGCCTTCCCCCCCCACCCCGCCCCGCAGATGCTGACGACGACCCGCAGCTCTCCTGGGTGGCCTCGTCTCCCTCCAGCAAGGATGTGGCGTCCCCCACGCAGATGATCGGGGATGGCTGCGACCTGGGCCTGGGCGAGGAGGAAGGGGGCACGGGCCTGCCCTACCCGTGCCAGTTCTGCGACAAGTCCTTCATCCGCCTGAGCTACCTGAAGCGGCACGAGCAGATCCACAGCGACAAGCTGCCGTTCAAGTGCACCTACTGCAGCCGCCTCTTCAAGCACAAGCGCAGCCGCGACCGCCACATCAAGCTGCACACGGGCGACAAGAAGTACCACTGCCACGAGTGCGAGGCGGCCTTCTCCCGCAGCGACCACCTCAAGATCCACCTGAAGACGCACAGCTCCAGCAAGCCCTTCAAGTGCTCGGTGTGCAAACGCGGCTTCTCGTCCACCAGCTCGCTGCAGAGCCACATGCAGGCGCACAAGAAGAACAAGGAGCACCTGGCCAAGTGCGAGAAGGAGCCCCGCAAGGACGACTTCATGTGCGACTACTGCGAGGACACCTTCAGCCAGACGGAGGCGCTGGAGAAGCACGTGCTCACGCGGCACCCGCAGCTCTCCGAGAAGGCCGACCTGCAGTGCATCCACTGCCCCGAGGCCTTCGGCGACGAGGGCGCGCTGCTCGCCCACATCCACCAGGCCCACGCCCACCAGAAGCACAAGTGCCCCATGTGCCCCGAGCAGTTCTCCTCCGTGGAGGGCGTCTACTGCCACCTGGACAGCCACCGGCAGCCCGACTCCAGCAACCACAGCGCCAGCCCCGACCCCGTGCTGGGCAGCGTGGCCTCCATGAGCAGCGCCACGCCCGACTCCAGCGCCTCGGTGGAGCGCGGCTCCACCCCGGACTCCACCCTGAAGCCGCTGCGGGGCCCCAAGAAGATGCGGGAGGACGGGCAGGGCTGGTCCAAGGTGGCGTACAGCTGCCCCTACTGCTCCAAGCGGGACTTCCCCAGCCTGGCCGTGCTGGAGATCCACCTGAAGACCATGCACGCCGACAAGCCGCAGCAGAGCCACACGTGCCAGATCTGCCTGGACGCCGTGCCCACGCTGTACACGCTCAACGAGCACGTGCTCAAGCTGCACAAGAACCACGCCTCCCCCGCGCTGCCCTTCGGCGGCCTGTCCGCCTTCCACTGCAACTACTGCCCCGAGATGTTCGCCGACATCAACAGCCTGCAGGAGCACATCCGCGTGTCCCACTGCGGCCCCGGCGCCAACCCGGCGGACGGCAGCAACGCCTTCTTCTGCAACCAGTGCTCCATGGGCTTCCTGACCGAGTCCTCGCTCACCGAGCACATCCAGCAGGCCCACTGCGGCGTGGGCGGCGCCAAGCTCGAGTCCCCCGTGGCGCGGCCCGCGCAGTCCTTCATGGAGGTCTACTCCTGCCCCTACTGCACCAACTCGCCCATCTTCGGCTCCATCCTGAAGCTCACCAAGCACATCAAGGAGAACCACAAGAACATCCCGCTGGCCCACGGCAAGAAGTCCAAGGCCGAGCAGAGCCCCGTCTCCTCCGACGTGGAGGTGTCGTCCCCGAAGCGGCAGCGGCTGGCGCTGAGCGCCGACGCCATCTCCAACGGCGAGTACCCCTGCAACCAGTGCGACCTCAAGTTCTCCAGCTTCGAGAGCTTCCAGACGCACCTGAAGCTGCACCTGGAGCTGCTGCTGCGGAAGCAGGCCTGCCCCCAGTGCAAGGAGGACTTCGACTCCCAGGAGTCCCTGCTGCAGCACCTGACGGTGCACTACATGACCACGTCCACCCACTACGTGTGCGAGAGCTGCGACAAGCAGTTCTCCTCGGTGGACGACCTGCAGAAGCACCTGCTGGACATGCACACCTTCGTGCTCTACCACTGCACCCTGTGCCAGGAGGTCTTCGACTCCAAGGTGTCCATCCAGGTGCACCTGGCGGTGAAGCACAGCAACGAGAAGAAGATGTACCGCTGCACGGCCTGCAACTGGGACTTCCGCAAGGAGGCCGACCTGCAGGCGCACGTCAAGCACAGCCACCTGGGCAACCCGGCCAAGGCGCACAAGTGCATCTTCTGCGGGGAGACCTTCAGCACCGAGGTGGAGCTGCAGTGCCACATCACCACGCACAGCAAGAAGTACAACTGCCGCTTCTGCAGCAAGGCCTTCCACGCCATCATCCTGCTGGAGAAGCACCTGCGAGAGAAGCACTGCGTGTTCGACGCCGCCGCCGAGAACGGCACGGCCAACGGGGTGCCCCCGGGCGCCGCCGCCGCCGCCGCCGCCAAGAAGGCCGAGCCGGCCGACCTGCAGGGCATGCTGCTCAAGAACCCCGAGGCGCCCAACAGCCACGAGGCCAGCGAGGACGACGTGGACGCCTCGGAGCCCATGTACGGCTGCGACATCTGCGGCGCGGCCTACACCATGGAGGTGCTGCTGCAGAACCACCGGCTGCGGGACCACAACATCCGGCCCGGCGAGGACGACGGCTCGCGCAAGAAGGCCGAGTTCATCAAGGGCAGCCACAAGTGCAACGTGTGCTCGCGGACTTTCTTCTCGGAGAACGGGCTCCGGGAGCACCTGCAGACGCACCGGGGCCCCGCCAAGCACTACATGTGCCCCATCTGCGGCGAGCGCTTCCCCTCGCTGCTCACGCTCACCGAGCACAAGGTGACCCACAGCAAGAGCCTGGACACGGGCACCTGCCGCATCTGCAAGCTGCCGCTGCAGAGCGAGGAGGAGTTCATCGAGCACTGCCAGATGCACCCCGACCTGCGCAACTCGCTCACGGGCTTCCGCTGCGTGGTCTGCATGCAGACGGTCACCTCCACGCTCGAGCTCAAGATCCACGGCACCTTCCACATGCAGAAGCTGGCGGGCAGCTCGGCCGCGTCCTCCCCCAACGGCCAGGGCCTGCAGAAACTCTACAAGTGCGCGCTGTGCCTCAAGGAGTTCCGCAGCAAGCAGGACCTGGTGAAGCTCGACGTCAACGGGCTGCCCTACGGCCTCTGCGCCGGCTGCATGGCCCGCAGCGCCAACGGACAGGTGGGCGGCCTGGCCCCGCCCGAGCCCGCCGACCGGCCCTGCGCCGGCCTCCGCTGCCCCGAGTGCAGCGTCAAGTTCGAGAGCGCCGAGGACCTGGAGAGCCACATGCAGGTGGACCACCGCGACCTCACGCCGGAGACCAGCGGGCCCCGGAAAGGCACCCAGACGTCCCCCGTGCCCCGGGTAAGTGCGGCCGCCGGAGCCTGACCCCGGCGCCTCGGGGCCCGGCTGGTCCCCGCGGGAGCCCCCACGCTGAGCTCTGCAGTGGCCCTGAGGTGCAGCTCGCTCAAGCCGCGGGCAGGCGGTGGGTTTAGTATGAGCCCCGTGTCGCCAGGGCCCCTCCGGCGGTGCGACACGCGTACATTATTGATCTCTCCGAGCCTCATTTGCCAAGAGCTCGTCTGGGAAAGGGGGGTCATTGTCTTGGCTGATGAATTGTGAGGGCCCGTGACGTCAGCCCATGACATCATCGGGGAAAGGGCCGGCGCAGTGGCCAATGCAGTGCGTGTTCCTGTCGTCAGTCGCACAAGGCACGCTCCAACCCTCCCATCGTGTGGCGCCGTCATCCTTGTGATGGATGGGGAGGGCTTCTTCCCGGCGGGGTGGCCCCGAGGGGAAAGCCGCTTTGCTTTCCCAGCTTTAGATCCAGGGGTCTTGACGACTCACGGAGGTAATATCCCCATCGAGGCCGGGCCTGGCGTTCAGGGCTCAGGCATGCTGGCTCTAACCACTGGCCAGTACCATCCGCGGCAGCATCAGTATAGTTAGTGCAGTTGCTGGTACATGAAGGCCCTAGAAATGGTCCCGCTTACTGTTATCAATAACGATCCATTGACTGATTGATTCATTCATTCATCAAATTTGTCTTGAGTGTCCATTATGTTTGGTTGCCTAGCAGCCTAGGAGTCAGAAATGGACCCTGCCATGGGAGGTCCCAGACCAGGGGAGCCACAGGCCCATACCCAGGGGTTTCAACGAGGCAGCGGCGTCTGGGCTACCGGAGGGTCCACACGGGCTCTGGGGACAGTGGCCAGGGGGCACCTGATGGTGGGTCTGGAGCCGGCAGGGCCCTCGGGTGTCAGACAGGACGGGCTGGGGATCCCCATGGACTCAGGTTGTCTCGTTCCCAGATCGGTGCCAAGCACACCTCAGGGGTGTCTCCCCCTGGAGGCCGCTGTTGGCGCCGCCGGCAGGGAGGTGGGAGTTAGGGGAGGCCCCCGGACACAGGAGCCTGTGGGGAGACAGGGATGTTTGCTGTGGGCTCAGAACTGGGGCCTGGGCCCGGGGATACCGAGGGGGGAGCCGGTGAGGGAATGAGGAGGCGGGAGAGAGGGAAGGCAGACTCCGCAGTGGGAGGCACTTTGGGGTCCCTGGCCCAGCTCCCCGAGCTAGTTCCTGATCGTGGCCCTTCCTGGCCACTGCTGCCCAGCTCGGTCCTCGGCCTCAGCGCGCTGGCCGGCCGGCGTGGGAGGACTTGGGAGCATCTGGGCCTGAAGTCAGGGGCCTGGGTTACCATCTCCTCTCCACCTGTGACTTTTTTAGTTTTGAGGATATTTTTCCATTGTTTTTTAGAGGGTGGAAGGGAGCAGGCACAGAAAGAGAGAAGCATCAATGTGAGAGAGACACATCAATTGGTTGCCTCCTGCACGCACCCCAACCGGGGATCGAGCCTGCAACCAAGATATGTGCCCTTGACCGGTATTCCGTCTGCAGGCTGATGCTCTGAGCCAAACGGGCCAGGGCCCCACCCGTGACTTACGGCTCTGGGCCTCTGTCCTCCCGGTCAGGCCAGCGGGTAACAGAAACAAGAGCGGTCAGAGCAGCAGCGTCCTTCCCCACAGCGGACAGCGGGGGCCACTCGGGGTGTGTATCCGCTCTGCTGGGCCAGGGCCTGCTCCGCGTCAGGGGTTGGATGTGGTGCCTCATTCCCGGGCTGTGTTTCGCTCCGAGGATGGCGAGCGCATGGCGGACGCCCCTGCCATTTTCCCGTGGGTGATCACCGCGGCCGTCTGTGGGGACGAGGATGCCCACGGCCTCATCCATTCGGTGCTCTCAGAGCTCACGGGACAGACGAGGAGACGGGGGCTCAGGACAGTCAGGAAGTGGGCCTCGAGCCCCGGCTTTCGAGAGGCAGAGACGGGGCGTGAGCCAGGTGATAGGCGGTGCCACAGCCCGGCTTGACCCACACGGAGCCCATCCTGGTTACAAGACGGGTGAGGCCGGTGGGGGCAGGGCCTGGGGTGGTCACCCCCATGCTCCGGCTGGGCCCTGCTCTGCCCCCTCCCAGGTGCACCCGGCCCCATCCCTGCCTCTGGCACTGCTCGCCACGGCACAGGGGCTGCTGGAGCCGCCTCCTTCCCTGTCTCAGCCCTGGACCCCACATCCAGTACCGCTTCCTAAAGCCCCCACTGTGTAGGTATCGGTTCTTATATTGTTTCCATGGCAACAACCTGGGAGCCTTGCTGCGACCTCCGCCTTGGCAGAGAGAGGACCCAGGCTCAGAAAGGGGGCGCCGTGGACCCCAGGACGCACCGCTGTGCGAGGCGGCGCCAGGTCAGACCGAGGGGCCCTGTTGGCGGCGCCCGGCAGGCCTTCCTGCCTGCAGCCAGGCCTGTGGGAGAGGAGGTGAGCGGGCGATCCCAGCGCGAGGCCCGGGCAGACGGGGCCGTGCGCAGACAGGAGCGAGACAAAGCCCGGCACCTCCCCGCTGAGGGCGCCGTCTCCGGGGCCTGGCCCCCTGCCTGGGCACGCCCGGGGGCAGGGGCCCAGCTGTCTGCCAGCCCCCCCGCCCCCTCCCTCCCCCAGGACTCACGCAGGCAGGAGCAGACTCTGGGGGCTGCCAGGGGCTTGGGGGCTGGCAGGCTGGGACCCTCGGGAGCGTATCCATGGCAACCAGCTCTCGGAGGACTGGGTTCCCGTGGGGCCGAGGCTGCTGTTGGCTAGAGCGTGAAGCACTGAGGTTTCCGCCTCCCCCTCTGTGTATGGGTAATAACAGCATCACCCCCAACTCCAGGCCACGGTACCACGGGGGGTACGGGGGTGCTTTCCCACGTCCTCCCAGAGCGGGAACAGGCGTCCCGATCAGAGGGCTCGCCCCGGCCACACCAGCCTCCTGCTACCTGGACCAGAGCCGTCCTCAGTGGTCTGGGGCCTGGAGCCCCGAACGGCAGCTCAGACAGGGGGCTCCGGAGGGAGCCTGCTGGGCCTGAATCCCGGCGCGGGGCTGTGGCCCAGTGGCTTAGCCTCTTGGAACTCCACGTTCTCATCCCTGCAGCGAGCTTGCGGCGGTGGTGAGCGTTCCGAGTAAACAGTGCCTGCACACAGTAGGTGCTCAAGAAATGTGAGCTGTGGTCGCCATCCTGCACCTCAGCAGCTCTGCTGTCCTTCCCCTGGCCTGCCCTCCCGACCCCGTGTCCGCATCCTCTATGTTCTCCTGCCCGGGGTCTCGGTGGCTGTGCGGGGCCAGGCTGGGGAGGCGGCCCGGCCTCGGGCCCCGGGGCTCAGCGTTGCTTCTCCTGGGCCCCTGCCCGCCCCCCGGGGAAGCGGCAGGTGGCAAAGGAGCTGCTGTGAATGCCAAGCTCTGTGTGCGGTTGTCGCCCGGCGCGGTTGGGGCTCTGGAGGAGGGGGCGTCTCCCGGGGATGGAGAAGAGGAGACAGACCGAGAGGAGGAGGTGTTGGGGCGAGGAGGGGGTGCCAAGGTTGCAGCGGGAAATCAGGGAGAGAGAGAGAAAGAGAGAGAGAGAGAGACCTCACCCGCTTCTCCCCGTGCTCGTCCCCCCAGCCTGGGGACCGGCAGCCCCGCCGGTGCCCTCTGCTCAGACATGGGCGCCCCAGCCATGCAGGCAAGGCCACGGGGTCATCTTTGTGCTGGGCCACTGGGTCCACGCGCACCGTCATGGGTGTGGTGTGGTGAGCCTGTGTGTGTGCGTGTGCATGTTGTGTGTGAGTGCACACGTGGGCACGGGAGGCTGCAGGAATGGTCACGGGGTGCGGATCTGGGTGGGGCTGTGCACACGGGGCCAGAGGCTGCTGGTGCATCTCGGGACGGGGAGAGGATGGGTGTGGCTACGAGTGTTCCAGGGAGGGTGCCGAAGCTGTTTAGGGACGAGACTGGGCGTGTCAGCCTGCGTGAGCTTGTGGTCTTCCCTCCTCAGAGGGTGCGGCGTCCGTGCACCTGTGATGTGGGGAGCTGGTGGTCGTGTGGGGTGTGGGGGTGTGTTCAAGGGGGGCTTGTGTGTCACTGGAGATTGGGGTGAGGGTGAACATGGGGTGTACATATGTGTGTTGCATGTCTGTGTGTGTCCTCATGTGCATGTCTGACCCTGTGGAGATGGCT